ATGTATGCGAAGTCGAAGTGGAGAAATGATAGAAATGGTAAAAGAAACGTTTTAAACTACACTGCTGTCAAACCAGTAACGGAGCCGCCAAACTTCTCAAGATTGCAGAATCCAAATACGACGAAGCTGTACAGAGGAAGATTCGTGGAGAGGACATAAATACAGCAGAACATCGGTACCACAAATCCTACTGTTATAAGTACACAAAGTAAGTATGGCCATGGTTTTGTTGTACAGTATTTGTGTGCTTGTGTGTATGTGTATGTGATTGTTCTGAAAAACTAATAAGAACGCTATTTATCTATTTACTTATTAAGGACCATATTGCACATGACGTCAGCTGATCTTTTACGGTTTGAAGTCATGAGATCTTTTATATTGAAATTATCGAGCCTGAAGTATGTTGAAGTTATAGTACCTTCTTTATACATTTGAAAATAAATCACATTATCGTATTGAAATAATAGGTTTACTAATGAAGTGTTTCTGATTGAGCATTTCAGTAAACATCATTTTGATCACATATATATATGTGTGTGCGTATTAATCACTGATTCATTTATCAATGATACATTTCAGTAAACATCATTTTGATCTCATATATATATACGTGTGCGTGTTAATCACTGATTCATTTATCAATGATATATTTTCAGAGTTTATTGAACACTGATTCAGCCAAGAGAGAACTAGTAAAGATTCCATTTGATTTAACTGCGTTAATACGATCAATGCTTGTGCTTGCCACTCCATAGATGTATAGAGTTACAGATATAAGTATTGGTAGTCCCACTCCCATGTCTGAACTGAAATAACACATTTGCAATCTTTACTAATGCTCGTTAAGATGAATGAGTGTTTAATAAACTCTGAAGATATATCATTGCTAAATGAGTATAGTTTAATAAGTAATATATATTAAACTAGATGAATTGGTGATCAACACTGTTTCAAATTAAGGGTACTAACACTTTCGTCGTTTCGTCTGTGACTCTTTATATATATATATATATATACACACATTCATACATATATAGTAAAATGCATCTTATCCTACAGAACATGAACGTGTTTTTTATTCCATTTGATACTATTAAAACTGATGACCAGATTAAAGTTCAGTTCCCGCAAAATATAATTCAATACAATAGAGAAAAATCCGAATCCAACTATGAGGAGATGGCAAGTTCATACATTCCCTCAACTCATGAAAAAAACTAAAACTCTCCTTGTAGCTGCGCAAATCCTTCTTTCTTATATAAGATTAATACCAGGCAGAGCAATCCTGACTACCAAAACTATTCATTTTTACATCAATTTATTCAACGTGAAGCTTTGTAGGACAGTTTCAAGCTTTAACAGGTGTCATTTTCATGGAATTGCATTTTTCGATTATTAGGTAGGTCAGTCATTATTATTTTCTGTAACAACCGTGGTAAGTTTTGTAATACAGATGTACTGTGGATTGTTATTATTATTAGTAGTAGTAGTAATAGTACTGGTAAGATATGTTTTTAGTGTTAGAAGTGTATTCAATTTTATGCTTTCTCATATGCAGTTGGTAAAGGAACTGGTTATCGATTGACTTGTAATAGAAACGTCTTGAGTTTGCCTAACTGTATTGAGAGAAAATAACAGTTTATTTTTTTGATTTCAGGTGCCTAGGGTGCCAACCATAGCTGCAGATGTTGTTGCAGCTATAACGTGACACTCTGAATGCTTCAAGTTCTCAGAGAAAATACCTACACTAGCGAACAAGATATAACAACAAATCAGCGACGATTTGTCTGAAGATATTACTAAAAAATCAATATACACGTTTGTATCGAGGAACACCTCAAAAACACAGAGCAACATTAACTTGCTTCGTCCACGTGTCGATTGCAATAAAATTCCAAATGTCAAAGGTCCAACTTCCAGATTTTCAAGAGACAGTGAGTCTGGTTGCAATAATTTGAAATTCACAATAAATTCTGACTATCAAATCTGGATAAGGACTCATCAATACACTCTACAGAAGATGTAATTGCAGCTACAAAGTTCCCAAACTAAAAACCTAGACCCAAGCCATTGAGACTACTATCGTCTTATCTCAGACATCAGCCTAATAATAAAGTTTGATATGGTGACTCATTTTTCAGTCAACTTTGTCTAAAATACCAACATTAACTGAATTTCAAACTTAACTGCAATCTAAGATTAGTAATTATTTTAAATAATCTTGCTGGCATTGCTATAGGAAATTTTGGCTAACATGCTAATATTGCGTTTTATACTTTTTTATATAATGAGCAAAATGCTAAACAACTTTTCAAGTATTGCATTTTGATTTCTTTGAAAAAATATTGGGCCGACAAAATTTAAGCAATGACTTTTAATTTAGGACTTAGCGAAATATTTAAGCCTTGTTACCAATAGGCAGAGCAGATTGGAATATACAAGAGTGGGTCACAATGGATGAACTTCTGATTCCTTGTGGAAGCATTCACAATCAACAGATCTGTCAGCTGAGAAAACTACTAAAACAAAATCTTAGGTCCATCTTCTGTGATAAGTTCCAATCCACTCTACTATGTCTGTTAAGAACAATGCTTTGGGCTGAACACTAAGCTCATCCAAACTTCCTACACGTGGTACGAATTTTTAATAAAAATATTATTAATTATATAGATTTTCCCTTGTTAAAAATAAAATGTGTGAATTTTGGAATACCAATATTTCTTTAAGAAAGTTCTAAGAGGAAAGCTTGTTAAACACCAATACTGTTAACTTACTTGCAAAAGGGGTTAACTGTGTCCTAATTCTCCATTATTAGAGCATAAGTTAAGGATGTAGAATTCAAATAAAAAGCCATTTTGTACGTTTAATTTGTTTGTGTGGATTTTTTCATCTGGGAATTTTTTATTACAAAACTTTACGGTTTGGGAAAAGTCTGCACAAATATAAGTTAGCAAAATTTGCAGTGACTATTTAGTTTACATATTGGAGAAAAATAGGATTAAGTTGGATTTCAGTTCGACTTTTAAGTCAATATTTAGCTCAGTCATCACTGGAATATCGTTTGATACCATGCAGCTGAAATGTCTAAAGTTAAAGTGCTGATTGACATTGATAACTATAAACAATACACGAGAAAACAACAGAAGGCGTCGAATACTTTATTATATGATAAATAAAAAATATATTTTCCGTTTTTTGTGTTGTACGGAAATTAATTTCACAGTTGTGCACGTTTCGTCCTCCGCCTTTTCTAGCAGTCCAAAAGAATGGTGGACAGATGGCTAAATCCTGCTGTATACCCTTTAGTTTAGCATTTCATGCATGTGATAACTAAAATAATTCTAAGGCTACATGACTAAAGTTTTCTTATTTGTCCATTAGTGACCTTTGGGAGAAAAAAGAATAGTCTAATAATAAATTAATTTAACTGTGCGATAGACATTATCGAATATTGACTTGCAACTAATGTTTAGATTCCCCGACTTAAGTCAGTAGAAAAATTTGTGTAGTCCATTCATTTAGTTAACAACTTAACATATTATTTAAATGTAATTGAACAGAATTATAAAAGCGTCAGAAAAAGTATAATTATAGGTATCTTAACAGTGACTTTTGAATCTTAAAATACAACTTAGTTACTGTTACATCACTAAGGCCAGGCATGGCCAAATAGTTAGCATGTTGGGCTGTATTTCTCAAAATCCAACATTCAAGCTCATTTAGCCGTGAGAGCGTTATAAAGTTACAGCCAATCCCATTACTTCATTAATAGTAGACGAATTGATGGCATAGGCTTTTGACGGGTTGTTCTCCCTCTGGCTAGCACTCTTAATTTGAGACAGCTATATTTTAACCTTAGAGGTGTCTAACCTATCCGTTTAGCCCATATATCTCATAAGTTGTCATTCACGTTGAATGAACTAAATAGCAAAATAATTAAGAAAAAATCGCAAAGTTAAATTGTAATGAAACAATTCAAGAAATGGAGGTTTTAGCAGTTAAAAGATGTTGATATGATCAAGAGGAATTTGTTTGTTTGTTGAATTTCGCGCAAAGCTACTTCAACACTATCTGCGCTTTACGTTCTTAATTTAGAAATGATAAACTATAAGGAAGGTAGCTACTTAACATCACCCTCCGTTAACCCTTGGGCTACTCCTTTAGCATCGAATAGTGGGGTTGATCATAACATTACAATGACCCAACGGCTGATAGAGTAGGTATATTTGTTGATGGGAGTCGAACCCGTGATTCACAGATTGAGAGTCGAGCTCCCTAACCACTGTCTCACGATGGAACTGTTTGTTTGTTTGTTTGTTTTGAATTTCGCTCAAAGCTACACGAGGGCTATCTGCGCTAGCTGTCCCTAATTTAACAGTGTAAGACTAGAGGGAAGGCAGCTAGTCATCACCACCCACCGCCAACTCTTGGGCTACACTTTTACCAACGAATAGTGCGATTGACCGTCACGTTATAACGCCCCCACGGCTGAAAGGGCGAGCATGTTTGGTGGAACGGGGATTCGAACTCGCGACCTGCAGATTGCGAGTCGAGCTCTCTAACCACCTAGCCATGCCGGGCCTCTCGATGGAACAGCGGTAAGTTTATGGACTTACAACGCTAAAACCCCGGGGTTCGATTCCCCACGGTGGACAAAACAGATAGTCAAAAGTGGCTTTGCTCTAAAATAAAGAAACAAACAATATCTAACCACCAGATAGTCTTAGAGTTAATTATTTAATATGAACAATTAAATTTATTTTGTTATGAAATAAGTATGTCTCGTATTAGTTGCATTGCAATAAATCAGATCACTCGTTGGATTGTAGAAGCACTTAGAATATTATCAATATACCAGTAGTTTATTTTGATTTCAATTTTTATTAGCAATTTCTTAATTGAATTAAACATTATTGAGAATTTCCAGTTGTTAAGATCTGTCACATGGTACGGATTTTAGCATAAAAAAATCCATTGAAAATTTGAATTAATCATTTCTGTATTTAACCAAGCGATGGGAGCTCCCTCTGACTGACTTGCACCTTTAGAATTTCGCTGTAGAAACGAGTTTGGGGAAGTCGGTTGGAATACCTTGGAAGTGTGTTAAGTACAATTTCTTTTGTTAACATTTTAATTTTCTTTTATAATGAAAACGCTGTTTTTAAAGTAATGAAGATTAGAAGGCTGAGAGTCGAAATACTATTTATTGGCTTTTATCTCTCAGCATATATTCGTATAATTGAACTTTTTTAAGTTTTACTCAAGTAAACGTTAGGCCTAACTAAATTAATATACCATACATGATACAGTCCTGTACCACAAATTGAACTTTAAAGTTAACACAAGCGGAATGTCGACTTTTCTGAATACTGTTCTCTAAAACCAAGCTTGTTTAGAAACGGTCTTTACCGTCATAGATCAGTGAGTATGGGACTTACGGAGATTTATCATAAGTTTTAGGTAAAACTAAAATACAATTACTATGAATTAGATTTTTCAAATGGATGCAAATGATTTATTTTACGATTGAAATTTTTTCGTCTAAATACCGAAATGAATTGAAAAGATTATTCTCGTTAGGTATTTAAGGGAGTTAAATGATAATATCAATGATTTTTTTTTTTTTTAGTGGATGAAACAGCTCTATTATGACAACAATTCTCTTTTGTTTTTAACAAATTTGTTATAGTAAACATGGAAGGTAATTGCTAAGTATTCAAAAAAGTGGTGAAGGAGTAAATGATTGTTTAAAATGTTTTCCATGCACTATGGTTTGTGTACGAATGTGGCATATCTAATATTGAAAATTCTAGATATTAACTTTTTGATATACAGTCATAAGTGTAAGAGTTATAAGTGCTTTTGTATGACAGATTTAGTTATGCCATTGTATCCTGAATCAAAGAGAAAAAAAATAATTTTTGCAGTATAATTATTTGAGTTATTAACAGTTATTATTTTTACCCCCACAGAATTTAGATAAAATGGCAGAAATCAAAATATAAGTTTTTCCAAAACTTTATTTTGAATGTGTAGTTAATTTTTTATATATTATATATGCAAAAAAAAAAAAGTCATCAAAGTGCACCATTTCAGGTTTAAAATTCAAAACATTTCTTGAAGAGGTTAATCAGACTCCCACCACTGAAATTTATGCCTAGCTATGCCCCTGCTATGAATCTCCCCAAAGCCAGGAATCCCATGCATAGGCATCTCAATGCCATAGTATCCACCAAGAGAATATATAAAAACTTGAATTTTTGGTGTATAATGAAGTTCTTTTTTGGCCTGTTTGTTTTGAGGCCCTTTTTGATAATTAAACCTATGGTACTGCCACTAAGTTTAGGCTAGAAATATCTGATGAACAGAGCAAAATTTGATGTCTTAAATTCTACATTATAGGATAACAATCAAATGCTTGTTTCCAGTCTCTGTAATATAATATTTTCACCTTTACACTTCATGTTAGCATGAATGACCAATGAAACTTAACCACAAGAAACATTACCAGCCTCATTAAGCACAATTTTTTATGCTAAATAGATATGTCATATATAATATTGTGACAAGCTGTAAAAATTCCATTCTACAGCACTAGTGATTGGCTTAGCATGTTGAAGCATACATCAGAGATGAAAATTTGTGTTTGTAAAATTTATTATTTAGTGAAAAAATTAAAAGTGATTATAATACAAAATGTTTTGTAAAAATAGTTAATTAATTTTAGAAAAAAATATTTTAGGTGCTATGGTGTTTAGATAAAGTTCTGGTGTGAGATTTGTAATGGATGTAATAATTTGGGTTTGGTTTGTTTGTGAAATTTGTTTCACACTTTCAAATGAACAAACCAACAAAGATATGTTTGAGAACTAATTATTATATGTATAATGTTGGTTAGTGATATCGTCTTTACTCCCATGGATATTTTTAATATTTTTTGTAACAGTATTGAACAACTTTGTATATCTTTGCTTTATCAGGATTTGAAAAACTCATTATCAAAAAGCCTCACTATGACAACTGAAGCATTCACAGATAGTGGCCGTATTTTGAAGATGGAGGTTGATTATTCAGCCACCATTGAAAATAAAGTTCCTCAGAGTGAAAAATTAGCCAAGGTTAGTTTTCTGATAATAATTTTTTGCTGTGGTTATATAAAGGCTGTAGAAAAAAATTATTTCCATGATGTTGCTATAAGAAATCAGAGTGGAAACACATGGGCAGTAAATGTTATAAGAATTTATATACTATGAGTAGCTATGTCACTGTTCATCACCCATTCATACCTAATTTAATGAAAAACACTTATAATCTGATAATTTCGGGTGCTGAAAACATACAAGGAAATATTTTGTATAACTATTGTTTTTTATCAGAATCTTTTTTTTAATCTAATTTATAAAAAAAACTATTGGTAGGAAATCCCTTGAAAAGACTTGTTAGCATTTTCATATTGCCCTGTTTTTTATTAGTGAACAGTTATGCTGTTTATTTAATAATGATCATTAATGTTCTCGGAAATTCTGTTTTTAAGGAAGGAAAACTTTCAGAAGCTTTGGACATTCTACTGACACTAGAAAAACAAACAAGAACAGTAAGTTCCTTGTTATTTGTACTTAATTTTCTTGACCTAGAATTGTTTTACAAACATTTTCCACATAAATTCAATGTTAGTTTTACAAATCAACATTACTATGTTCTTCTGTTATTTTCTTTAATGAATAAATAAAGCATTCTGTAGTTTGATGGAAAGAGTTTCTTTTGTAGATACCCTTCAGTAGCATTAAAAATATAAAACACAAAGGAGAAATTCCAAATCAAAAATTATTTACCGTCATCAGAAAAATTTTGCTCCAAAAGTAAAATGAGGCAGGCTAGGCCTACCAATTATTAAAAGAACTTAAGGACATTTTGAATATATAATATGAATTTGTACATAAAAAAAATAGTTTTAAACATAAATAAGCATGGCATACTTAAATAATAAAAACATTGTATTGTATGAATTCAAAGCAAGAATATGTTATCATAATATTTTTTAAAAAATGTATATAAAAGTATCTGGAAGTGGGCATCTCTGCATCAAACTCATCAGTAAACTCTAATGTGTGTATATTATTTTATGTAGAATTCAACCAAGCTTAAAAAGTTCTTTCATACAATTAAAACAATTTCAAACGGTCATAGCTTTGTATGTATCTTTTTTAACATGTCTCATTTACCATCAGGGAGCTGACACACACTCTACAAGTAAAGTACTTGTAGCAATTGTTCGTCTGTGCTTTGAAGCCAAAGACTATAAAGCTCTTAATGAGAATATTGTATTATTGACAAAAAGACGCAGTCAGATCAAACAGTCGGTAACCAAAATGATCCAAGAATGTTGTTCATATGTCGACCAAATGCCTGATAAAGAAACTCAGCTTCTGCTGATTGACACACTACGTACAGTCACTGCAGGCAAGGTATGTGCTCTCCCATACTCCTTTTGATGCACCTGAAGGTAACAGTATACTTAGAAGTAATTATTCCCTTTTAACATAAACAATTTTACTGAGCTAGTGTGTTCTTTGTGAAGATCAAAGTCTGGTTAAAATTTTATTAGATTTAAAAAATTTTCCACTAAATTTCAGGTAAAAGTATTTTTGAGTTACATGACATATAGTTAGGTACACTTACATCAGTAAGTGCATTAAAATGCCTATTGCTTTTCAAATTTATTCTTAATAAGTAATCTAAACCCAGTTTGTTGTTCCTAATATAATCCGTTCATATAAAAAAATTCTAAATGCTTAGATTTTCTGACAACTTTTTTATCTTGAATAAATCAAAAATATTTTCCTCAAATTCCAAAAAAAGAAAGGAAATCCTGAAAATATGAGACATTTCATACAGACACCCCCCTTTTTTAAAGGGATATTAGTTTTCTGTTTTGTTTTTTTTCCCTTATATTAGACTATTTTTCTAACATCTGTTTACATTTGTGCATAGATGACTGAGACATTTAAGAATATGAAATGGCACATACTTTTATTTATCTTTCTTAGTTATCTGGCTTTAATGCATTGTAATGAAAAAATATAATTAATTTTAATAACTGTTAAAAGCCTATTCTATTTATATCAGTGAATTAATTCTATTGCAGGATTTGTATATATGTATACATACATAATCACCATTATAACATATATAAGCGTTATTCTAGTTCTTTATGGTAGAAATTATTTATATGTTTGTTCTCAATAGATTTATGTAGAAGTTGAGAGAGCTCGACTTACTCACAAACTAGCAAAAATGAAAGAAGATGAGGGTAATACAGAAGAAGCTGCAACAATAATTCAAGAATTACAGGTAGGCAAATGTAAAATTTTTTGCATAATTGCAGTTGCTGTCCACTCAAGGTTGTAGTGGTATTTGTTTAGTTAATATATTGAATGATTTTAACATACTTAAAATAACTTGTGTTATGAAAATATCAAGCAAAAGTTTTTTAAAATGACTTCTTAAATGAAAATATCAAGCAAATAAAGTTGAAAATGTAAATTCTGTGGAAACTGTCAGTTATAGTAGCCAATGTATTAATTCTATTGCAAACCTTTCAGAAATCACAGGTAATTTGAAATAACTTATTTTGGTTTAGATATTATTTTAAACAATAATAATTTAAACTCTTTCATCACATGCTTGGTCCCTGGGACC